GCCAGATTATCCTATCTCTGTTGGTGTAAATGCTCATGATATTGTTCATATGCACGAGTCATGTGCACTGGTAAAAACAAAAACAAAGAAAAGGTCGTCTGCACTGGTTAGCATTTCCACCGAGTTTTATGTATATTTTGTTTGTTGGGCTTGTTTCATCGGAAGACACGGTGGGCTTCGGCTATACAACAAAGTGGTCATTTACCATCCCTGAATCCCACTCTTGAACATTTCCTAATGGAAATCCCATGACGAAATCGATGGCTGGCTCCCTCGGAAATATGCAGCTTTTGTTGTCAACCAAGGTTGTCTTGTATTTTTAAGTCCAACATTTTGAGGGGTGCTGTACTGTTGTTCCTTTCCTTCCTTTTCTTTTTTTCTTAAAAAAATTTAAATAAATCTTTTCCTTACCAAAATTAATAGATGATTGCCACTAAAATCCCCCAAAGCAGGCATACAATAAATTAATTATCGTGTGTAAAGTGTGACTCGTAAATATTAATCTTGATCCATAGATGACAACTTCCGCAATTTATAACAGCATTGTCAAAAATGAACTTCAGCTTCTATCATCATACATTATAGCAATTGATCATATATACATTCTATTTTCCTAGCTAACAATTTGTCATAATTTACAAATTTCTTCGGTCTGACAAAACTGAAAACAAAATCAACATTGTGCCAAATAAAACTGAGCATTATAGGAAACTCAAACTTAAAATTTTCATTTCTCTAGAGTAAAAAATGTGGATTGGCCATGCTTTTAATCCATTTCCAACTTTAGTCATGAGCAAGTTTTGTTACGAGATATTTCGTAGGGCTTAAACTTAGACAGAGACTGTGTTCATGAACATCTATTCCCTGTCCTAGTTCATATGAATTGTGATGGATGTACAGTAGCACACTGATGGTTGAAGCTACTGCATTATGCATTCATAAAAAGAGATGCGAGTATGCCTGGTAGCCAGATCAGGTGAACGCAAACAAATAATGGCAAAAAATGAACCAATTCACCAAAAACAATATTATATGAACCACATTTTACTTATTCTCTTTATGGATCAACAAATAATAAAATCTTGATTCTTAAAATAATAAATAAAATCATGAACAGCAAACCATTTTCTCTTTTTGCATCGACAGATAATAAAATCAAGAACAACAGGCAAAGTAATTATACAAAGTCCCTAAAAAAGAAAGCCAAACGAGCAGCGCGATGTCCAAATTTACTTAATGCTTAAGGAAAGCAAGCAGAGACAACAACAGGGATGAACAGAACACAGCCGCGGACATCCCCAGAGAATAGGCTGCTCCCTTGTCCATTGTTGGTGCAGGTGCTGGCTCCATCTCAAGATCTTGAGCAGTAACGGTTGCAAAATACATGGCCACAACAAAGAAGATGGCCATAGCCTTGAATGTACACACTAATTGTGCCATGGAGACACTGTAAAATATAAGGTGCAAGAAAAATCTGGCGTTTGCAGAGTATTGTTAAATTGCTTACTGTGTGCTGATTAGTACTGTCTGTGCGCTCTGAGAGAGCTTAGACCCGAGGGCTATTTATAAGGTTTTGTGGAGGCCTGCGGGACCCCAGAACAGAACTTGGAACACCTGCGCCATGTTCACATGTGAGAAACTTTTGAGTCCAGCAAGTAAAATCAACTTTTGTGGGTGCTAGCCACATGGTTTGGGTTGGTTACGCTAAGCTGCTTCCATCCCAAGGACCTTAACTTGTAAGGAAATTTCTAGTGTGGGACTTTGAATACTACGCCCTTTCTTTGTAATTTTATCGTCCATAAGTTTCTTTCTCGTGTCGTGTTCAAATTAAAATCAAACACCAATTACAAGGTGATTTTGGGCCCAGATTGTGACAACGACTTTAGCCAGTGCAATTTCTGAATTGTCACGTTATTAGCCCCTCTAAGATTTCGTGAGCTGTGTCTAAAATACAATGCTGAAATTTTGAACCACATTTTACAGCTTGAATTTCAATCTTTCTTTGAGTAGGCCCATGTTAAAACACGTTTAAGGTTAAAGAAAACCCTCGTAATCACTATAGCCATATTCACATGATTTTATTCACTATAATACTGTTTTAAGTTTTTAAGTTTATCATCATCCAATCATTACTTTATGATTTACTTTTAATTTTATTATCGTTGTGGTTAGAAATTTTGTTTTATATTTTTTATATTATTTTATATTGAATTATATATTAGTTTTATGAATTTAGTTTTTTCTCTCTATTTTTATTTTTAATATTATATTTATTGAAAACGAGACTTTATAATTTTTTCAACTTGTTTTTTTATAAATTTATTCAGGTCATGGATTTAATAAGTTAATTAAAGTTAAATCATGTATTTTTTTAGCCGTTTTTTCTAATTTTTATTTTAGTTAAAACATGTATTTTTTTAGCCGTTTTTTCTAATTAATTTTTTTTATTTTATTCTTTAAAATTGGATTAGTTAAATATTATATTTTATTTTTTATCTGTTTTATATAGAGTTATTATGATTTCATTCCACGGGTTGCAATTTACAAGTTGAGCAAGTTGACTCAGATTGACTTTGTTTAATTTTTTTATTTTTTTTAATTGAACATTTTTTATGGAGCTTTATAATTTTTTTGAATTTTTATAGGATTATCTTGATCACATGATTTAGATCACAAGTTTAGTAGGTTGACTCAAGTTAACTATATTTATTTTTAGTTTTTTTTATTTAATAAATTTTAAAAAACTTTCACCATTCAACAACTCAAATATTCTTTTTTTAGTTTTTTTTTTAACTTTATCTATCGATATTAAGTTGTTTAAAAATTTAGCTAAGTAATTTTTTTTCAATTTTTTTATAGAGTTATCCTGATTTTATGGATTTAATTTTGTTCCTCTAAATTTCAACTTTTAACATTAAATCTATTGAAAATAGAACTTCATGAGTTTTTTTATTTGCCCTTGATGATGTTATCTCGATTTTATGATTTAGGTTACGAGTTTAACATGTTAGTCTGAGTTGACTTGGGTTATTTCTTGTCTTTTTTAATTTTTTAATTTAATAATTTAAAACCAAGTTGGTTGAAAATTAGTCTTCATAAGTTTTTTTACTTACTTTTATAGTATTGTTTTAATTTCATGGCTTAGATAATGAGTTTTACAAGTTAACTAAAGTTGACTTGAGTAGTTTTTTGGTTTTTTTAATTTAATTATTTTTTAAAATCTCACCCTTCAACATTAAGTTGATTAGAAATTGACCTTCATTATATATTTTGATCTATTTTTTTAGAGTTTTTATAATCTCATGACTTAAATTACGAATTTGGCAAGTTAATCCAGATTAATCCAATTTATAACTATCTTAATGTTTAAAAAAAACCATTTAATATGTTACATATTTTAAATAAAACCTCATTCAATATATATTATCTCTTAAGTTTATAATTGATTTTTCTTATTAAAATACATGTCAACAACACTTTAACATTTATTTTTAAATAGTAATAGTAGTTGTTATTGTTGTTGTTGTAATAATAGAGTAGTAATAATAGTTGTTGTTGTTGTTGTGATAATAGTGATAATAATAATAACAATAATTATAATAATAATATTAATGGTATTGATATTAATAATATTAGCAGCAACAATAATAATAATAATAAAATTGATAATAATTTTTTTTTTAAAAGAAATGGGGTTTCTTTGTATCTATAAAGATAATCCCCCATTCACTATAATTGTCGAACCAGGTTTATGGCATTCAATAAAAAAAAAAGACTTTGGGTGGTGGCTACTGATATTTAAAAATAGACTTTGGGTGGTGGTTATGGCATTCAATGTATTCTAGACTTTGGGTGGTTGCTTGTTAATTATGTGAATGATTGGAAATAAAAAATAATAATTTAACATTTAAATAATATTTTTAATTTGAAAGAAATGCTGGTATATTGGGGCTGCTATGGACTTCGGGTGGTGGCTCCTGATAGTTAAAAAATAGACTTCAACTATATAATTTTATTCCTCATTGAATCCTCCTCTTTTATCATGAATAGACTTCAACTATATAATTTTATTCCTCGTTGAATCCTCCTCTTTTATCATTGCACGTGTTATAAAAAAAAAATGTTGTCCTAACTAAAACTAGTTTCGTCAATTTCCATGTGTACGAAGGTGTTTTCATCAAAATCTCCCAGTAAAACCATGACACATGTAATCACTTAATCAGCAATTAATTGGGTGTTGAAACATGTAAGCATGTCTTTCATGCCCTCCTTTCGTGTCTGTCTTTGTTCATAAAAAGAGGAGGGAAAAAATCCCCATCGAGAGAGCGACATTAGACCACGAACTTATCTCGAGATATCAAACCACAAAATAAAAATTGAAAGCTAATCAATGAAGACAGAGAAATATAATTCTGAAAAAAATCTCAATCGAGGGAGCAACATGAGACCACGAACCCTATCCTTGCAGAAAAAAAGTAGCAGCAGCAGACTATATAAATTAATTCCTCGTCTCGTATTAGATATTTATGTCAAGATTTAAATTTATTAGGAAACCGTAGTTAATAAGATTATTAGATATTGATTTATCTGTTAACTATATATGATTTATTAATCTCCATTCTTTTTTTCTTTTTTTTTTGTACTCTAGCTAGTAATTGACCAGCAGACAAAAGTTGATCTCGCTCCAAAATTCCCTGATTTTTTTAAAAATTAACACTGCTTAAAATTAAAAATTAATTTGGTGAAATAATATATCCATAAAAAAAAACTCGGAAAAGAAAAAGAAAAAAAGCAAAGCCCATATAACTTGCTAAAATGAATATTATTAAAAGAGTTGCTAAAACCAAATAATAATTTATCAATATCGAAGAAAATACACAAGTTTGTAATAAATCGATATATACATGCCCCTCATCTCAACAATAATACAACCACAAGACATCCCATATATAATAATGAATAAACCTTTATTTCACCGTATAAACATCAATAATTAATAGTACTAAAAAAAATCCCTCAAGAAAAGACTCTCAAATTAAAGAGTACATGTATAAATCCCATCCCAGTAAACATAAAAATAACCGAGAGAATCTCAGATAACAAAAACCACCTAGTGCCTCAAAAGAGAAAGCATAGACAAGAAGAGAGAAGAGCAGATAAGAGCCCCAGACATCCCAAGAGAAAAGGAAGCAGCTCCCTTGTCCATTCCAGGAGCTGGCGCTGGCGCTAACTCTCCAAGATCTTGGGCGGAAACAGCAACAGTGGCTAGCATTGCCATGACAACAGCAGCAGCAGCAAACAACTTCATTGCAGCAAATGCCATTGTACAAAATCTGGTGTCATGACACGAATACAAACCCTTTCAAGAGATATACTGAGAGCGAAACCAAATCTTGAATATTGTTCAGTGTTCTTGATCCAGGGTGGTGAGGAGGAGGACGAAGTGGCAAGGGGTGTTTATATAGTGAGGGTTGGTGTAGGTTTTCACTAAGAAAACGTGTGGGGCATAGATAACGTGGACAGCTGGAGAGACACGTTGAGGCAGAGAAGCACAGAGGCCGGCAATAAAACGGCTGGTGCTTACAAATAATTTGATTTTTATCAACGTCAGCGAACACCTGGAGTCCTGATTTTATTTCCCTATCTTGGTAAACCGTAACCTAACACTAGTCCCCATGTCAAACACTCAACGTAATCTGTGTTAACATGGAAAGTTAACACCAAAAATTGATTTCAAATTAATGGGATTACTTTAAGGAGATCAAAGTTGAAAAACTAATTTTTAAATGATCATTTATCTGTTTTTTTAAAGACTACGAGCTATATCTTTGCAGTCAAGCCGGCAATGGAAGGTAACATGGTGATTAAAAACTTCAAATTAGTGTTTTTGTTCCAAATTCAATGCATAAAAAATTAGTGAGAAAGAAAGCAGTCGTTTTTCATGTCCCGCTTCCACACACATGATCTGTTTTATCAATTCTGAATCATGGGCTAGAGGTTAGTGACCTAATTAGTTTAACAATTCAACATCTTAATGTTCTTAATTATAAGAGTTTCTTCATCCATGCTTGATGTCCTTTATTCAAAACTCATCCAAGCGGTGGTTGTACAGCGAAAATCAACACCAAACTCATAAAATATTAAGAGAGAAGTAGTTCTCTCTCACGTCAAATAATTAAAGCAGGAAAGTGTTTATCTTTTAGAGGGAGAAAAGATGGAAATAAATTAATTTTATTCAATGTGTGGAATTGAAAAGAACATGATTAAATTGACGCTTAGGGCGATTCTAGTAATTATTATGAAGGGAAATAAATTAATGCGTGGGATTGGAAAGTTCAAGATTAATACGACCTATATTTGTTAAAACAGGACTTACTGATAATTTGTCCAAAGAATAAGGTCATGTCTGCTAATAACAGGGCTGCTCTCTTTGTTGAAATATAATAGTTTTCCACTGTGCTGAGTAAAAGCATGTCCATATAAAAATAAATCTGAAACGGCTAACGTTGAAGTACAGGCGCGTGAAAAGAAAAACATTGCAGTTTTCTTATCTTAAATTGGGCTGGGTTAGCGGAAATGATTCATATAAAGTGATGCTCTTCTGATAAATAATAACAAAGTGAGGCGCTCAAACAAAATAAGTAAAAGCTGAAATACTTGAACAGAAATTTAACAGACATGGAGGTACTAAATCACGTCACGTCATTGCTTCAATTTTCAAACCATGATTAAATTGGGCTTGTAGAGGCACCGAAAACTCCAGATTTTTCAAACTCACGAATCCGACATGACATGCGTTTTATTCGTGCAGTGTTTATGAGGTAGAGAATTCAAATCTTCATTGTGTTGCCGATGTCGATAACGAATCGGTATCTGACATCTGTTTTCAAAAGCCGCTCCATAGCTGTGTTCACATAATCCATCGAGATAACCTCAATGTCTGCCGTGATGTTGTTCTTGGCAGCAAAATCAATCATCTCCTGTGTTTCCTTCATTCCTCCTATGCAACTCCCACCCACTATTTTTCTTCCTGCCAAGCCACCAACAACATAGAATTCGTCGCTGTCAGTTCAATACCAAAATAAGTCTAGAACAAATACTGAGAGATGCATGCATGTATACAAACCCATGATCAGAGGAAACACTGGTAGCTCAAGTGGCTTTTCAGGCGCACCAACCAAGACCAGCTTTCCTTGAGTCTTCAATAGACTAATCAAAGGCAAGATAGGATGCATCGCCGACACCGTGTCAATTACACCATCCATTGTGCCCATTGCAGCCTGTATAACAAACAATATTATATTATGTTTGGTGTTTAATTAGTTTTACAGATATATACAAGGTATGTGCTCTGAACCATGTTTATATACCTGCATCTCATCCTGGTCACGACTAACTAGAAACGAGTCAGCACCAAGACGCTCAAGGGCTTCTTGTTTCTTCTTGGGAGAGGTGCTAATAACTGTAACCTTGACCCCCATGGCCTTTGCAAACTTTACAGCTACATGACCTAGCCCACCAAGCCCAACCACGCCCACGTGCATACCCGGTTTGTCAAGATTAAAAAACCTCAAGGGGCTGTAAACTGTGATCCCAGCACATAGGAGAGGTGCAGCGGCATCTAGAGGTAGGTTGTCTGGAATACGAACTACGAAGTGCTCATCCGTGACCATGCTGTCTGAGTAGCCTCCGTAAGTGGTGGTTCCATCGTGGTATTTGGTACTGTAGGTGAGTATCATTTTTGGGCAATAATTCTCGAGATCGTTGTTGCAACTATCGCAAGAGTGGCATGATCCAACCATGCACCCCACCCCCACTTTGTCTCCAACTTTGAACTTCTCAACTTTGCTTCCTACTTCTGTCACTTCCCCAACAATCTCATGCCTGCATTGCCAATTTAATTTAATTAAGCCTCAGATGCAATGCATGGATGAATTTATTCCAGTCAAAGTTCCTCCAAACATTTTCCGTGGACTGCCAATTGCCATTCATAATGTTTATGTGCAAAAAAAATGAGAAATAACTACATATACGGTCATAGATTTTTCTTACAGTGTGTACATACCCGGGAACTAGAGGGTAAATGGAAGTACCCCACTCATTCTTGGCCATGTGAAGGTCTGAGTGACATATTCCACAAAACAGCACCTTGAATCGCACATCCTTCTCTCCTGTAGACCTGTTGCAAGAGGTGTTTCTTGCTTAGCAAAAACCGCAAGTGAAAATGGGAGATATTCATAGGTAGAAAATCAATCAGATGGCCATTCACCAACAATACTATTACAAAAAATATAGAGCTATAAACATGTGATTCAATAAACTTATTTCACATATTAAAAATAAAAGACTGCCATATATCTGATGTAGCCCATCTTGCGGCTGCGCTGAATGCTTGTTGGTGTTTAGAAAAACAAGCAGAAAATGGATCTAAGCAAACCAAGCTAGACGAAAAGAAAAATAAAATCCCATAATTAAATAAAGCAGCGACAAGATGGAGGAGAGGGAATGTGAATGCTTGTTGGTGTTTAGAAAAACAAGAAGAAAATGGATCTAAGTAAACCGAGCTAGACGAAAAGAAAAATTAAATCCCATAATTAAATAAAGCAGCAAAAAGATGGAGGAGAGGGAATAATTAACCTCCTGGAGAATTTGAAAGGAGAGAGGACCCCGGATTGGTCTCTGGCTGCCCATCCAAAAGCCTTGGTAGGATGTTCTTCCTCGTAAGATTTTTCTGCCATTTCCCCCCTCCTTTTGCTGTATCTGATACTGCCGAGAGAGTGTGCATGGTGCACCTATTTATAGCGGCGGGTGGTCTCCCATTGCCTATAATGGTATAATGGGCAGGGATGACATACTGGGTGAGCTAAGCACCTTTAGTCGCTCATCCGTGAGCTAATCAATTTCCTTGGGAGAAAAGCCATCTGTCCATGAGCTAGTTATAGTTACCTTGACTACTCGGCTGAGAAGTACTAAAACTGTCTCAAGTATTCTGTCGCTTACTCTCAACTCTATTTCCGTGCGTGAATTAACTAGTGAAAAATTGAAGAAGTGAATCTCCGGCCTCCAAACCAATGGCTGCGTGCCTCCCAGTAAAATAATATATTGGAAAAGTTAATGTGATTTTTAATGCATGAACTTTTATATTTCCTCAGATGATGCTTAAATTTTATTTGAATAGATTTCCCATATTAAAAAATAAATAAAATATGGATATCCCTCCATTTGTGTCATCACATCTCTTGTCGTGTGATATGGCATGGTGATGTGTCAACAATTGATTAAGACACGTTAACTTTAAATTTTTTATGTGGAGTGTTTGGATCAGCTTGCGCGTACCACGATTAATTTTCATGGCTTATTGAATACCCTGCAAACCCAGTAGACATGTAAGGCACAACGAGGATGACAGGCATGCACACCAGGGCTCGAACCCAGGTACAGTAGAAGAAGACAAGCCCCTTCTATCGTTAGACCAAGTACTAGTTTACAAAATTAATTTTTAAAATAGGATAAAATGTACCAGAGTTAATGATATATTTCATTGTACTATGTTTTTTAATTGAAAAGTGTAAAAAAATATGTTAATATTTATAAAATAACATATCATATATATGTAAAAGTCCTTTAATTAGAAAAGGATGATAAATGAGCCCACTTTCAATCGGATCAAAGGTACAGGAGATCAATTCCAACTGTTTTTAGTTGAGGGATGGGTTTTGTAATGATTTAAAATTCAGAAATGTTTGTAGTAATCTGGACCCAGTGTTTAACGGTAGAAATCAAAATTTTCTATCCCTCAAATTTCATGATAGTTAGTTTTATAATTAAAAAAAATATTGAAATATGGGATAAAATATTCTAGATATTTTGTCATGTAACATTATAAAAAAA